ACGCAGGAGGTCGTGGGTTCAATCCCAGACACTGAGAGATGTTGACTACCTCGCCTGGTACGCAGAAGGTCGTGGGTTCGATCCCAGACCCTGCTGCTGCTGCTGCTGGTGTCTATGTGGAGTCTGCGTCTCTCTCTCTCTCTCCGTCTCTCTCCCCGTGATTGCCTCGCGTGACGATGGCAGCGGCGGCGGCATCGGCCACGTGGCTTGAGATAGCGAGGTCGGGGCCGCTGGACAGGGAGCCAGACAGCAGCTCAGCGAGGCCACTCTTAGACCCTGGTGACCGTAGAAAGTAGGGTCGGTCGGAGCGCCTCCAGGCCTCCGTTAGTAACGCGCGGACGGATTGGCAGATACATAGAGGCGCGGGCGGAGAGAGACGCGGGGGACGGAGAGAGACACGGGGACTGAGAGAGACACGGGGGACTGAGAGAGACACGGGGACTGAGAGAGACACGGGGGACGTAGAGAGAGACACGGGGACTGAGAGAGACACGGGGACTGAGAGAGACGCGGGGGACGGAGAGAGACGCGCGGGCAGAGAGAGACACGGGGACGGAGAGAGACACGGTTACTGAGAGACACACGGGGACAGAGAGAGACACGGGGGACTGAGAGAGACACGGGGGACGGAGAGAGACACGGTTACTGAGAGAGACACGGGGACAGAGAGAGACACGGGGACAGAGAGAGACACGAGGGACGGAGAGAGACACGGGGACAGAGAGAGACACGGGGACAGAGACACGGGGACGGAGAGAGACACGGGGGACTGAGAGAGACACGGGGGACAGAGAGAGACACGGGGACTGAGAGAGACACGGGGACAGAGAGAGACACGGGGACGGAGAGAGATACGGGGGACAGAGAGAGACACGGGGACAGAGAGAGACACGGGGACAGAGAGAGACACGGGGGACTGAGAGAGACACGGGGGACAGAGAGAGACACGGGGACAGAGAGAGACACGGGGGACAGAGAGAGACGCGGGGACAGAGAGAGACACGGGGACTGAGAGAGACACGGGGACTGAGAGAGACACGGGGACTGAGAGAGACACGGGGACAGAGACACGGGGACTGAGAGAGACACGGGGACTGAGAGAGACACGGGGACAGAGAGAGACACGGGGACGGAGAGAGACACGGGGACGGAGAGAGACACGGGGACGGAGAGAGACACGGGGACTGAGAGAGACACGGGGACGGAGAGAGACACGGGGACGGAGAGAGACACGGGGACAGAGAGAGACACGGGGACTGAGACACGGGGACAGAGAGAGACACGGGGACAGAGACACGGGGACAGAGAGAGACACGGGGACAGAGACACGGGGACAGAGAGAGACACGGGGACAGAGACACGGGGACAGAGAGAGACACGGGGACAGAGAGAGACACGGGGGACTGAGAGAGACACGGGGACAGAGACACGGGGACAGAGAGAGACACGGGGACTGAGAGAGACACGGGGACAGAGACACGGGGACAGAGAGAGACACGGGGACTGAGAGAGACACGGGGGACGGAGAGAGACGCGGGGACTGAGAGAGACACGGGGGACTGAGAGAGACACGGGGACAGAGAGAGACACGGGGACTGAGAGAGACACGGGGGACAGAGAGAGACACGGGGACTGAGAGAGACACGGGGGACTGAGAGAGACACGGGGGACAGAGAGAGACACGGGGACAGAGAGAGACACGGGGGACTGAGAGAGACACGGGGGACAGAGAGAGACACGGGGACAGAGAGAGACACGGGGACAGAGAGAGACACGGGGGACTGAGAGAGACACGGGGACTGAGAGAGACACGGGGACTGAGAGAGACACGGGGACTGAGAGAGACACGGGGGACTGAGAGAGACACGGGGACTGAGAGAGACACGGGGACTGAGAGAGACACGGGGGACTGAGAGAGACACGGGGGACAGAGAGAGACACGGGGGACGGAGAGAGACACGGGGACTGAGAGAGACACGGGGGACGGAGAGAGACACGGGGACTGAGAGAGACACGGGGACTGAGAGAGACACGGGGACAGAGAGAGACACGGTGACTGAGAGAGACACGGGGACAGAGAGAGACACGGGGGACAGAGAGAGACACGGGGGACAGAGAGAGACACGGGGACAGAGAGAGACACGGGGGACAGAGAGAGACACGGGGACAGAGAGAGACACGGGGACTGAGAGACACACGGGGACAGAGAGAGACACGGGGGATGGAGAGAGACACGGGGACAGAGAGAGACACGGGGGACAGAGAGAGACACGGGGACAGAGAGAGACACGGGGGACAGAGAGAGACACGGGGGATGGAGAGAGACACGGGGGACAGAGAGAGACACGGGGACAGAGAGAGACACGGGGACAGAGAGAGACACGGGAGACTGAGAGAGACACGGGGGACAGAGAGAGACACGGGGACAGAGAGAGACACGGGGGACTGAGAGAGACACGGGGGACTGAGAGAGACACGGGGGACAGAGAGAGACACGGGGGACTGAGAGAGACACGGGGGACTGAGAGAGACACGGGGACTGAGAGAGACACGGGGGACTGAGAGAGACACGGGGACAGAGAGAGACACGGGGGACTGAGAGAGACACGGGGGATGGAGAGAGACACGGGGGACGGAGAGAGACACGGGGGACTGAGAGAGACACGGGGGACAGAGAGAGACACGGGGGACTGAGAGAGACACGGGGATGGAGAGAGACACGGGGACAGAGAGAGACACGGGGGACTGAGAGAGACACGGGGGACAGAGAGAGACACGGGGGACGGAGAGAGACACGGTGGACAGAGAGAGACACGGGGGACAGAGAGAGACACGGGGACTGAGAGAGACACGGGGGACAGAGAGAGACACGGGGGACAGAGAGAGACACGGGGGACAGAGAGAGACACGGGGGACAGAGAGAGACACGGGGGACGGAGAGAGACACGGGGGATGGAGAGAGACACGGGGACTGAGAGAGACACGGGGGACAGAGAGAGACACGGGGGATGGAGAGAGACACGGGGACTGAGAGAGACACGGGGGACAGAGAGAGACACGGGGGACAGAGAGAGACACAGGGACAGAGAGAGACACGGGGGACTGAGAGAGACACGGGGGACGGAGAGAGACACAGGGACAGAGAGAGACACGGGGGACAGAGAGAGACACGGGGGACTGAGAGAGACACGGGGATGGAGAGAGACACGGGGACAGAGAGAGACACGGGGGACAGAGAGAGACACGGGGGACTGAGAGAGACACGGGGGACTGAGAGAGACACGGGGGACTGAGAGAGACACGGGGACTGAGAGAGACACGGGGGACGGAGAGAGACACGGCGACAGAGAGAGACACGGGGACGGAGAGAGACACGGGGGACAGAGAGAGAGACACGGGGGACAGAGAGAGACACGGGGGAGAGAGAGAGACACGGGGGACAGAGAGAGACACGGGGGAGAGAGAGAGACACGGGGACTGAGAGAGACACGGGGGACAGAGAGAGACACGGGGGACGGAGAGAGACACGGGGGACTGACACTCCGATCCCCGTGATTGACCCCGCGACCCCGCGATTGACCCCGCGATTGACCCCGCGATTGACCCCGCGATTGACCCCGTGACCCCTTGACCCCACGACCGACTGACCCCGCCCCCCCCCTCCCCAGGCGGGCCTGCTGCACGACACGCTGGAGGACACGGAGACTTCCGTGGCCGAGCTGGTGGACGCCTTCGGCCCCCAGGTGGCCACCTTCGTCAGCGAAGTCTCTGACGACCGCTCGCTCACGCAGGTGAGCCACGTGGGGGGGGGGGGGAGGGGCTTGCACGGTGGGGGGCGGGGCTCGCGGGTTGGGGGGCGGGGCTCGCGCGGTGGGGGGTGGGGCTCGCGCGGTGGGGGGTGGGGCTCGCGCGGTAGGGGGTGGGGCTCGCGCGGTAGGGGGTGGGGCTCGCGCGGTTGGGGGGCGGGGCTCGCGGGTTGGGGGGCGGGGCTCGCGCGGTGGGGGGTGGGGCTCGCGCGGTGGGGGGGGCGGGGCTCGCGCGGTAGGGGGTGGGGCTCGCGCGGGAGGGGGTGGGGCTCGCGCGGGTGGGGGGCGGGGCTCGCGGGCTTGGGGGGCGGGGCTCGCGCGGTGGGGGGTGGGGCTCGCGCGGTTGGGGGGTGGGGCTCGCGGGCTTGGGGGGTGGGGCTCGCGCGGTTGGGGGGCGGAGCTTTTGGGCTGGGGGGCGGGGCTCACGCGGTTGGAGGCGGGGCTCGCGGGCTGGGGGGCGGGGCTCGTTCCCCCCTCCCACCGACCGTGCCAACCTGCTGTGCTTTTTAACCACCCGGCGCTCCGCTCGTTGTTGTGAGCGTCGCTCCTCCGCCCTCCGTTGTTGTTGCTCTGGAGGGTGACCGCCTCCAACTGCCCAGTGGCCTCAAGGTGCACCTAGCCTGGCACTGACCCCCAGTAGCCTCGAGGTGCACCTAGCCTGGCACCGGTCCCAGTAGCCTCGAGGTGCACCTAGCCTGGCACTGTCCCTAGTAGCCTCGACGTGCACCTAGCCTGGCACTGACCCCAGTAGCCTCAAGGTGCACCTAGCCTGGCACTAACCCCGGTAGCAGCAGCAGCGTCCTGTACGAGCCTCCTCCTCGGAGGCCGATCTTGAGAACCCTCCCACACTGTCCCCCCACCACCACCCCCCACTAACCCCCCCACCACCACCACCCCCCACCACTACCCCTACCACCCTCCCACCACCCCCACTACCACCACCCTCCCACCACCCACAACACCCGCACCACCACCCCCACCACCACCCCCACAACCCCCCCACTACCCCCCCCCACAACCCCCCCCCACCCCACCACTACCCCCCACTACCCCACCCACCCCCCCACCAGGCTGAGCGCAAATCCCAGGCGGTGCTACGGGCCCCTCGTTTGTCTCCTGGGGCCAAGGCCGTGGCTCTGGCGGACAAAATCTACAACCTGAGAGACCTCAACAGGTGGACACCACAAGGTGAGGTGGGCCACAAAATCTACAACCTGAGAGACCTCAACAGGTGAAAGCCGCAAGGTGAAGTGGGCCACAAAATCTACAACCTGAGAGACCTCAACAGGTGCACACCCCAAGGTGAGGTGGGCCACAAAATCTACAACCTGAGAGACCCCAACAGGTGCACACCCCAAGGTGAGATGGGACACAAAATCTACAACCTGAGAGACCTCAACAGGTGCACACCCCAAGGTGAGGTGGGACACAAAATCTACAACCTGAGAGACCTCAACAGGTGAAAGCCGCAAGGTGAGGTGGGCCACAAAATCTACAACCTGAGAGACCCCAACAGGTGCACACCCCAAGGTGAGATGGGACACAAAATCTACAACCTGAGAGACCCCAACAGGTGCACACCCCAAGGTGAGGTGAGACACAAAATCTACAACCTGAGAGACCCCAACAGGTGCACACCCCAAGGTGAGGTGAGACACAAAATCTACAACCTGAGAGACCTCAACAGGTGCACTCCGCAAGGTGAGGTGGGCCACAAAATCTACAACCTGAGAGACCTCAACAGGTGCACTCCGCAAGGTGAGGTGGGACACAAAATCTACAACCTGAGAGACCTCAACAGGTGCACTCCGCAAGGTGAGGTGGGACACAAAATCTACAACCTGAGAGACCTCAACAGGTGCACTCCGCAAGGTGAGGTGGGACACAAAATCTACAACCTGAGAGACCTCAACAGGTGCACACCCCAAGGTGAGGTGGGACACAAAATCTACAACCTGAGAGACCCCAACAGGTGCACACCCCAAGGTGAGGTGAGACACAAAATCTACAACCTGAGAGACCCCAACAGGTGCACACCCCAAGGTGAGGTGGGACACAAAATCTACAACCTGAGAGACCTCAACAGGTGCACACCCCAAGGTGAGGTGGGACACAAAATCTACAACCTGAGAGACCTCAACAGGTGCACACCCCAAGGTGAGGTGGGACACAAAATCTACAACCTGAGAGACCCCAACAGGTGCACACCCCAAGGTGAGGTGAGACACAAAATCTACAACCTGAGAGACCCCAACAGGTGCACTCCGCAAGGTGAGATGGGACACAAAATCTACAACCTGAGAGACCTCAACAGGTGAAAGCCGCAAGGTGAGGTGGGCCACAAAATCTACAACCTGAGAGACCTCAACAGGTGCACACCCCAAGGTGAGGTGGGCCTCAAAATCTACAACCTGAGAGACCTCAACAGGTGAAAGCCGCTAGGTGAGGTGGGACACAAAATCTACAACCTGAGAGACCTCAACAGGTGCACTCCGCAATGTGAGGTGGGACACAAAATCTACAACCTGAGAGACCTCAACAGGTGCACACCCCAAGGTGAGGTGGGACACAAAATCTACAACCTGAGAGACCTCAACAGGTGAAAGCCGCAAGGTGAGGTGGGACACAAAATCTACAACCTGAGAGACCTCAACAGGTGGACACCCCAAGGTGAGGTGGGACACAAAATCTACAACCTGAGAGACCTCAACAGGTGAAAGCCGCAAGGTGAGATGGGACACAAAATCTACAACCTGAGAGACCTCAACAGGTGCACACCCCAAGGTGAGGTGGGCCACAAAATCTACAACCTGAGAGACCTCAACAGGTGCACTCCGCAAGGTGAGGTGGGACACAAAATCTACAACCTGAGAGACCTCAACAGGTGCACTCCGCAAAGGTGAGGTGGGACACAAAATCTACAACCTGAGAGACCTCAACAGGTGCACGTCCCAAGGTGAGGTGGGCCACAAAATCTACAACCTGAGAGACCTCAACAGGTGAAAGCCGCAAGGTGAGGTGGGACACAAAATCTACAACCTGAGAGACCTCAACAGGTGAAAGCCGCAAGGTGAGGTGGGACACAAGGTGTACTGTGTACTGTGTGTACTGTCTGTGTACTGTGTACTTTACTGTGTGTGTACTGTGTGTGTACTGTGTGTGTGTGCTGTGTACTGTGTGTGTGTATGCTGTGTGTGTGTACTTTACTGTGTGTGTACTGTGTGTGTGTACTGTGTGTACTGTGTGTGTGTACTGTGTGTGTGTACTGTGTGTGTGTACTGTGTGTACTGTGTGTGTGTACTGTGTGTGTGTAGTATGTGTACTGTGTGTACTGTGTGTGTGTACTGTGTGTGCACTGTGTGTGTACTGTGTGTGTACTGTGTGTGTGTACTGTGTGTGTACTGTGTGTGTGTGTGTACTCTGTGTGTACTGTGTGTGTGTGTGTACTGTGTGTGTACTGTGTGTGTGTGTGTACTGTGTGTGTGTACTGTGTGTGTGTACTGTGTGTGTGTGTACTGTGTTTGTACTGTGTGTGTGTGTACTGTGTGTGTACTGTGTGTACTGTGTGTGTACTGTGTGTGTGTACTGTGTGTGTGTACTGTGTGTGTGTACTGTGTGTACTGTGTGTGTGTACTGTGTGTGTGTACTGTGTGTACTGTGTGTGTGTACTGTGTGTGTGTACTGTGTGTGTACTGTGTGTGTGTGTGTACTGTGTGTGTGTACTGTGTGTACTGTGTGTGTACTGTGTGTGTGTACTGTGTGTGCACTGTGTGTACTGTGTGTGTGTAGTGTGTGTACTGTGTGTGTACTGTGTGTGTGTGTGTACTGTGTGTATACTGTGTGTAGTGTGTGTACTGTGTGTAGTGTGTGTACTGTGTGTACTGTGTGTGTACTGTGTGTGTGTGTGTGTGTACTCTGTGTGTATACTGTGTGTGTACTGTGTGTGTACTGTGTATGTGTACTGTGTGTGTACTGTGTGTGTACTGTGTGTGTGTGTACTGTGTGTGTATACTGTGTGTACTGTGTGTGTGTACTGTGTATACTGTGTGTAGTGTGTGTACTGTGTGTGTGTACTGTGTGTGTACTGTGTGTATGTACTGTGTGTGTACTGTGTGTACTGTGTGTGTACTGTGTGTGTGTACTGTGTGTGTACTGTGTGTGTGTACTGTGTGTGTGTACTGTGTGTGTACTGTGTGTGTACTGTGTGTACTGTGTGTGTACTGTGTGTGGGCTATGTGTGTACTGTGTGTGTGTACTGTGTGTATACTGTGTGTAGTGTGTGTACTGTGTGTGTATACTGTGTGTGTACTGTGTGTGTACTGTGTGTGTGTGTGTACTGTGTGTGTACTGTGTGTGTACTGTGTGTGTGTGTGTACTGTGTATGTGTGTGTACTGTGTGTGTACTGTGTACTGTGTGTGTACTGTGTGTGCACTGTGTGTGTATACTGTGTGTAGTGTGTGTACTGTGTGTGTATACTGTGTGTGTACTGTGTGTGTACTGTGTGTGTGTACTGTGTGTGTACTGTGTGTGTGTACTGTGTGTGTGTACTGTGTGTGTGTACTGTGTGTGTATACTGTGTGTATACTGTGTGTAGTGTGTGTACTGTGTGTGTGTAGTGTGTGTGTACTGTGTGTGTGTACTGTGTGTGTAGTGTGTGTGTACTGTGTGTGTGTGTACTGTGTGTGTGTACTGTGTGTGTACTGTGTGTGTGTGTACTGTGTGTGTACTGTGTGTACTGTGTGTGTACTGTGTGTGTGTACTGTGTGTGTACTGTGTGTGTGTACTGTGTGTACTGTGTGTGTACTGTGTGTGTGTACTGTGTGTGTACTGTGTGTAGTGTGTGTACTGTGTGTGTACTGTGTGTGTGTACTGTGTGTGTGTACTGTGTGTGTACTGTGTGTGTGTCTGTGTGTACTGTGTGTGTACTGTGTGTGTGTACTGTGTGTGTGTACTGTGTGTGTACCGCGTGCAGGATGGACGGAGGAGCGAGTCCACCAGTACTTTGAGTGGTCGGCGCTGGTGCTGCGTGGCCTGCGAGGGGCCAACTGTGTGTACTGTGTGTGTACTGTGTGTACTGTGTGTGTACTGTGTGTACTGTGTGTGTGTACTGTGTGTGTGTGTACTGTGTGTGTGTACTGTGTGTGTGTACTGTGTGTGTACTGTGTGTACTGTGTGTGTGTACTGTGTGTGTGTACTGTGTGTGTGTGTGTGTACTGTGTGTGTGTACTGTGTGTGTGTACTGTGTGTGTACTGTGTGTGTATACTGTGTGTGTGTACTGTGTGTGTACTGTGTGTGTACTGTGTGTGTGTACTGTGTGTGTGTACTGTGTGTGTACTGTGTGTGTACTGTGTGTGTGTACTGTGTGTGTACTGTGTGTGTACTGTGTGTGTGTACTGTGTGTGTACTGTGTGTGTGTACTGTGTGTACTGTGTGTGTGTACTGTGTGCGTGTACTGTGTGTGTACTGTGTGTACTATGTACTGTGTGTACTGTGTGTGTACTGTGTGTGTACTGTGTGTGTACCGCGTGCAGGATGGACGGAGGAGCGAGTCCACCAGTACTTTGAGTGGTCTGCCCTGGTGCTGCGTGGCCTGCGAGGGGCCAACGCAGCCCTGGAGCGAGAGATAGACAAGTTGCTGATCCAGCGTGGGGTTGCCATCACCACCACCACCACCAGCACCACCGCCACCACCACAACACCACCGTGAACCACCCACGGCACCACCGTCACCACACCACCACCACAACCACCACCACAACCACCGCCACCACTACACTACTATACACTACAATACTAGACACTACACTACTATACACTATACACTACACTATACACTCACTATACACTACACTATACACTACACTACTATACACTACACTATACACTACACTACTAGACACTACACTACTATACACTATACACTACACTATACACTCACTATACACTACACTATGCACTACACTACTATACACTACACTATACACTACACTACTAGACACTACACTACTATACACTATACACTACACTATACACTCACTATACACTACACTATACACTCACTATACACTACACTATACACGACACTACTATACACTACACTATACACTACACTATACACTACACACTACACTATACACTACACTACACTATACACTATACAATACTACTAGACACTACACTACTATACACTATACACTACACTATACACTACACACTACACTATACACTACACTATACACTACACTATACACTACACTATACACTACACTATACACTACACTATACACTACACTATACACTACTATACACTACACTATACACTACACTATACACTACACTATACACTACACTACACTATACACCACACTATACACTACACTACACACTACACTATACACTACACTATACACTACTATACACTACACTATACACTACACTATACACTACACTATACACTACTATACACTACACCATACACTACACTATACACTACACTATACACTACACTATACACTACACTATACACTACTATACACTACACTATACACTACACTATACACTACACTATACACTACACTATACACTACTATACACTACTATACACTACACTACTATACACTACACTATACACTACACTACACTATACACTACACTACTATACACTACACTATACACTACACTATACACTACACTATACACTACACCACTATACACTACACTACTATACACTACACTATACACTACACTATACACTACTATACACTACACTATACACTACACTATACACTACTATACACTACACTATACACTACACTATACACTACACTATACACTACACTGGGTTTCAAGCCACGGGTTTGGTGCGATCTCGCGGGCAGTCCACGTGGCCTGGTCACCGACGACGACGAGATACTCCCAGTAGACCACGTGGTTCCAGTGTGACCACTCTCCACTGTGAACCCCTCACATCTACAGATCTCCGTCTCTCTCTGAACCAGCTAGAGCCTCCAGTAGACCACGTGGTTCCAGTGTGACCACTCTCCACTGTGAACCCCTCACATCTACAGATCTCCGTCTCTCTCTGAACCAGCTAGCGCCTCCAGTAGACCACGTGGTTCGAGTGTGACCACTCTCCACTCTGAACCCCTCACATCTACAGATCTCCGTCTCTCTCTGAACCAGCTAGCGCCTCCAGTAGACCACGTGGTTCCTGTGTGACCACCACCACTCTCCACTGTGATCCCCTCACATCTACAGATCTCCGTCTCTCTCTGAACCAGCTAGAGCCTCCAGTAGACCACGTGGTTCCGTGCGACCACCACCACTCTGAACCCCTCACATCTACAGATCTCCGTCTCTCTCTGAACCAGCTAAAGCCTCCAGTAGACCACGTGGTTCCCGTGTGACCACCACCACTCTCCACTAAACCCCTCACATCTACAGATCTCCTTCTCTCTCTGAACCAGCTAGAGCCTCCAGTAGACCACGTGGCCCCCGTGTGACCACCACCACTCTGAACCCCTCACATCTACAGATCTCCGTCTCTCTCTGATCCAGATAGAGCCTCCAGTAGACCACGTGGTTCCTGTGTGACCACCACCACTCTGAACCCCTCACATCTACAGATCTCCGTCTCTCTCTCTGAACCAGCTAGAGCCTCCAGTAGACCACGTGGTTCCCGTGTGACCACCACCACTCTGAACCCCTCACATCTACAGATCTCTGTGTCTCTCTGAACCAGCTAAAGCCTCCAGTAGACCACGTGGTTCCCGTGTGACCACCACCACTCTCCACTGTGATCCCCTCACATCTACAGATCTCCGTCTCTCTCTGAACCAGCTAAAGCCTCCAGTAGACCACGTGGTTCCCGTGTGACCACAACCACTCTGAACCCCTCACATCTACAGATCTCCGTCTCTCTCTCTGAACCAGCTAGAGCCTCCAGTAGACCACGTGGTTCCTGTGTGACCACCACCACTCTGAACCCCTCACATCTACAGATCTCCGTCTCTCTCTCTGAACCAGCTAGAGCCTCCAGTAGACCACGTGGTTCCCGTGTGACCACCACCACTCTGAACCCCTCACATC